GGTTATAACGAGCGCAAACGTTTCTTTTCGCCCCAAAAAATGTGTAACTGTGACATCTATGAATGGAACCAAGGCCCAAACGAAGCGGACTGATGCGGGAGAAAGCACCCCTGACACGGCACGGCCTCAGCGGCGGCCTGGGCCAGAGGAGGGTTCACAATATACTGTTCAATATAGACTTTAATATAGACTTTAACATGGACTTTAATATAGACTTTAACATGGACTTTAATATAGACTTTAATATGGACTTTAATATAGACTTTAATATAGACCCTAATATAGACTTTAATATAGACTTTAATATAGACTTTAATATGGACTTTAATATAGACTTTAATATAGACTTTAATATAGACTTTAATATAGACTTTAATATAGACTTTAATATAGACTTTAATATAGACTTTAATATAGACTTTAATATAGACTTTAATATAGACTTTAATATGGACTTTAATATAGACTTTAATATAGACTTTAATATAGACTTTAATATGGACTTTTTATTTTACACTTCAATAATTAAATTATTAGGAGCTTTTTTTGTATTTTTGGTGCCGGTTTAGTGTCTTGTAAAGATCAGTAAAACATAAGGGTGTAGTTTATAAGATTCTTCTTCCTTTCAAGTTCTTGTATTTTCTGGATTATCATTATATTTCGTTGCATTTGCAATGAAAAAAGGGAACAAAAGAAATAACACAATAATATACAGTTTGTGATGTCCTTTCTCTTGCGCGCGCGTCAAACCGAGTCTACGGAAGCCTCTCGGCCCAAACAGGACGGTTGTAGAGAAACGACAGCTTTAGGACTAAAACAAATAAACATGACGATTGTGGAGGAAACGTCTTAACGATCAGAGAACATGTGACATCACAGCTTCCAGCGCGGGCCGACCACGAATAACCGATTTATTTATCTACTATTGTATATGTTGCAGCGGAAAGAGAAAACTAAAACACTTATTACACAATAGTTAAAAGAAAAAAAGAATTATTTTACAGTGAAATTAAAAACATAAAAACATGTGTAAATGAACCATAATAAAGGCTCGTGCTTTCGGTCCCAAAACAAAGACACATCACTCTTGTATTTGATCCTGGTCCTTCACAGTCACATGGTCCTGGACTTGTCTGTTGGTGCTCTTGTCTTTGAACAAATGCAACGCCATGTGACGCGCGTGCATGTCCGCGTGCAGCTGCAAAAACAAAGTCATTTCAACCAAAACGTCTCCAACTTTACGCACGGCCACGCGCTCCGTCTTTATCGCTCCCAGTCACTGCAAATACAGATTGTGTTACACACAGGCTAGATTTCAGTGTGTGTGTCTGTGTGTGTCTGTGTGTGTGTGTGTGTGTGTGTGTGTGTGTGTGTGTGTGTGTGTGTGTGTGTGTGTGTGTCTGTGTCGTGTGTGTGGTGTGTGTGTGTCGTGTGTGTGTCATGTGTGTGTGTGTGTGTGTGTGTGTATCGTGTGTGTGTGTGTCGTGTGTGTGTGTCTGTGTGTGTGTCATGTGTGTGTGTCGTGTGTGTGTGTGTGTCATGTGTGTGTGTCGTGTGTGTCGTGTGTGGTGTGTCTGTGTGTGTGTCATGTGTGTGTGTCGTGTGTGGTGTGTGTGTGTGTCATGTGTGTCTGTGTGTGTGTCATGTGTGTGTGGTGTGTGTGTGTCATGTGTGTGTGTCATGGGGCAGGCCCGTTGTTTAAACCCAGCCTAAAGCTCCGGTACCCTCCTCACATTCTGCACATTAAAGTCCATTCGTCGCATTGATTTGGGCCTTTTTGGTTCCGTTTGTGAGCTGCGCGTGCGTGTCTCCGCTCTCTCCTGCCGCAGCCGCCTCAGAACAGGGCAAATGTGAACGCATCCGATCTCATTCAGACCATTTAGAACCAGGTTTTTAGTCACTTTTTGACACTTTTCCTTCCCCATGTATTTACCGAGCTGCTTCAACTTCACGCACAAGCCTGACTTCGGTCCGACTCTGCTCCAGGACCAGCCCCTCTCCAGCCGCGGGTTCACCGACTACAAAGGCTACTGGCCCCACCACCACCAAGGGTCCAAATGGAGCACGTTCCCGGCCCAGCACAGCCCGGCCCAGCTCAGCCCGGCCGAGACGCTGTACCTCCGGGAGCAGACTCACACGGCTCCGGTGCGGCGGACGCGGCAGGACGCGCGGTGTCTGCGCGCGGCGGCGGAGAAAAACGTGTTGCCGCGTGCGTTCGACCAGTTCTTTGAGGGTTCTGAGGAAGGAGGCGCTAGGAGGCCCAGGGGGGAGAGAGGGGAGAGAGGGGAGAGAGGGGAGGAGAAGGAGTGTGGAGGAGAGAGGAGCGGAGAGGAGCACTCCCCAGGCGCACGTGAGTCTCTGTCTGTTTACTGTTTACTGTGGCACAAATACAACACACACAAACATACACAAGGCTCACAAACACCACACACACAGCTCTCTGAAGTGTGTCACAGAAACAGGACTTTATGGATCTCACATCTGCAGGGGCTCGTTCTGATGAGAAGGTTCTGGAGGTTGTGGGAGGTTTGAGGAGGCTCTTAAGGGTTCTTGGGGGTTTAGCAAGAAAAAAGTTGAAAATAGTAAAACAAAAACTGAGGATGACTCAGGTTTATCTCCCAGAGACATGTGCACTTTCTCTGGGAGTCATTTTAAGTTTGTATTAAATTATATTATATATATATATATATATATATATATATATATATATAATATATATATATATATATATATATATATATATATATATATATATATATATATATATATATATATATATATATATATATATATATATATATATATTCTCTGTGCAGTGAGGAAGAAGCGTATATCAACAACAAAAACAACAATGTATTCTTGTATTTCCCTAAATCACAACAGCATCATCTCAGAGACTTAACAAAACCATTGGAATCACCACAGATCAGAGAATCCACAGTTTCCACACATGAAGAATATAGAACACATGTGATAAATGTCACACATGTGATAAATGTCATGCATGTGATAAATGTCACACAAGTGATAAATGTCATACATGTTGATAAATGTCATACATGTGATAAATGTCATGCATGTGATAAATGTCATACATGTGATAAATGTCATACATGTTGATAAATGTCATACATGTGATAAATGTCATACATGTGATAAATGTCATACATGTTGATAAATGTCATACATGTGATAAATGTCATACATGTGATAAATGTCATACATGTTGATTAATGTCATACATGTGATAAATGTCATACATGTGATAAATGTCATACATGTGATAAATGTCATGCATGTGATAAATGTCATACATGTTGATAAATGTCATACATGTGATAAATGTCATACATGTTGATAAATGTCATGCATGTGATAAATGTCATACATGTGATAAATGTCATACATGTAGAATGTTAACGTGTCCTGGATCACCACAGTCCTAGTTGGACACTAACTGTCTCCAACAGACCCTCCTGCATCAGAGGAACAACTCATAAGAAAACCCAGTGGGAAAAAGTGAGAAACCTCGGGGAGACCCATGGTTTGAGAAAGGATCCGCTCCCACAGACGGGCTGTAGATCCAGGACTCAGACTGTAGAACGAGGACTGAGGCTGTAGATCCAGGAGTCAGACTGTAGAACGAGGACTGAGGCTATAGATCCAGGACTCAGACTGTAGAACGAGGACTGAGGCTATCGATCCAGGAGTCAGACTGTAGAACGAGGACTGAGGCTGTAGATCCAGGAGTCAGACTGTAGAACGAGGACTGAGGCTGTAGATCCAGGAGTCAGACTGTAGAACGAGGACTGAGGCTATAGATCCAGGACTCAGACTGTAGAACGAGGACTGAGGCTATAGATCCAGAAGTCAGACTGTAGAACGAGGACTGAGGCTGTAGACCCAGGACTCAGACTGTAGAACGAGGACTGAGGCTATCGATCCAGGAGTCAGACTGTAGAACGAGGACTGAGGCTGTAGATCCAGGAGTCAGACTGTAGAACGAGGACTGAGGCTATCGATCCAGGAGTCAGACTGTAGAACGAGGACTGAGGCTGTAGATCCAGGAGTCAGACTGTAGAACGAGGACTGAGGCTGTAGATCCAGGAGTCAGACTGTAGAACGAGGACTGAGGCTGTAGATCCAGGAGTCAGACTGTAGAACGAGGACTGAGGCTATAGATCCAGAAGTCAGACTGTAGAACGAGGACTGAGGCTGTAGACCCAGGACTCAGACTGTAGAACGAGGACTGAGGCTATCGATCCAGGAGTCAGACTGTAGAACGAGGACTGAGGCTGTAGATCCAGGAGTCAGACTGTAGAACGAGGACTGAGGCTATAAGATCCAGAAGTCAGACTGTAGAACGAGGACTGAGGCTGTAGATCCAGGACTCAGACTGTAGAACGAGGACTGAGGCTATCGATCCAGGAGTCAGACTGTAGAACGAGGACTGAGGCTGTAGATCCAGGAGTCAGACTGTAGAACGAGGACTGAGGCTGTAGATCCAGGAGTCAGACTGTAGAACGAGGACTGAGGCTGTAGATCCAGGAGTCAGACTGTAGAACGAGGACTGAGGCTATAGATCCAGAAGTCAGACTGTAGAACGAGGACTGAGGCTGTAGACCCAGGACTCAGACTGTAGAACGAGGACTGAGGCTATCGATCCAGGAGTCAGACTGTAGAACGAGGACTGAGGCTGTAGATCCAGGAGTCAGACTGTAGAACGAGGACTGAGGCTATAGATCCAGAAGTCAGACTGTAGAACGAGGACTGAGGCTGTAGATCCAGGACTCAGACTGTAGAACGAGGACTGAGGCTGTAGACCCAGGACTCAGACTGTAGAACGAGGACTGAGGCTGTAGATCCAGGAGTCAGACTGTAGAACGAGGACTGAGGCTGTAGATCCAGGAGTCAGACTGTAGAACGAGGACTGAGGCTGTAGATCCAGGAGTCAGACTGTAGAACGAGGACTGAGGCTATCGATCCAGGAGTCAGACTGTAGAACGAGGACTGAGGCTGTAGATCCAGGAGTCAGACTGTAGAACGAGGACTGAGGCTATCGATCCAGGAGTCAGACTGTAGAACGAGGACTGAGGCTGTAGATCCAGGAGTCAGACTGTAGAACGAGGACTGAGGCTGTAGATCCAGGAGTCAGACTGTAGAACGAGGACTGAGGCTATAGATCCAGAAGTCAGACTGTAGAACGAGGACTGAGGCTGTAGACCCAGGACTCAGACTGTAGAACGAGGACTGAGGCTATCGATCCAGGAGTCAGACTGTAGAACGAGGACTGAGGCTGTAGATCCAGGAGTCAGACTGTAGAACGAGGACTGAGGCTGTAGATCCAGGAGTCAGACTGTAGAACGAGGACTGAGGCTGTAGATCCAGGAGTCAGACTGTAGAACGAGGACTGAGGCTATAGATCCAGAAGTCAGACTGTAGAACGAGGACTGAGGCTATAGATCCAGGAGTCAGACTGTAGAACGAGGACTGAGGCTATAGATCCAGAAGTCAGACTGTAGAACGAGGACTGAGGCTGTAGATCCAGGAGTCAGACTGTAGAACGAGGACTGAGGCTGTAGATCCAGGAGTCAGACTGTAGAACGAGGACTGAGGCTATAGATCCAGGAGTCAGACTGTAGAACGAGGACTGAGGCTATAGATCCAGGAGTCAGACTGTAGAACGAGGACTGAGGCTGTAGATCCAGGAGTCAGACTGTAGAACGAGGACTGAGTCTATAGATCCAGGAGCTAAGCTAGCTACAGAACGTGGACCAGTGGACGCTGAACGTGGACAGGTCCGGTGCAGGACTGAAGCACTCCCAGGCGGGTCGGGCGGGGCAGTCCGCAGGTGTAGATGGAAGAGGCCAGGCTCAGAGATCCCGTCATCGTACCATGAAACAGACAATGGGACAACGGGTGAATAGCAATGAACAAACTACAGTCAGAATCCTAAAAATGCTAAACAGATAAAGTAGGAAGGAGGAGAGGATAGTGCTCAAGTTACCATACTTCTCCAGCAGGGGGCGCCCTATGCAGCTTGACTGACTGGAGTTTAGCCTTCCCTGAGTCTTACCTTCCTAGCCATATGCTAACGGTTTGCACTAGATCATTTACGGAATCGGGACGAAACCGGAAGTAACAATCCTACTATCGAATTCGTTTTAAACTATAAAGTTCTTAAGTGGTGATTGGTTAAGTTTTAAGTGGTCTGAGTAAGATGGTTAAGGTTAGGGTTAAGGTGGTCTGAGTAAGATGGTTAAGGTTAGGGTTAAGGTGGTCTGAGTAAGATGGTTAAGGTTAGAGTTAAGGTGGTCTGAGTAAGATGGTTAAGGTTAGGGTTAAGGTGGTCTGAGTAAGATGGTTAAGGTTAGGGTTAAGGTGGTCTGAGTAAGATGGTTAAGGTTAGGGTTAAGGTGGTCTGAGTAAGATGGTTAAGGTTAGGGTTAAGGTGGTCTGAGTAAGATGGTTAAGGTTAGGGTTAAGGTGGGTCTGAGTAAGATGGTTAAGGTTAGGGTTAAGGTGGTCTGAGTAAGATGGTTAAGGTTAGGGTTAAGGTGGGTCTGAGTAAGATGGTTAAGGTTAGGGTTAAGGTGGTCTGAGTAAGATGGTTAAGGTTAGGGTTAAGGTGGTCTGAGTAAGATGGTTAAGGTTAGGGTTAAGGTGGTCTGAGTAAGATGGTTAAGGTTAGGGTTAAGGTGGTCTGAGTAAGATGGTTAAGGTTAGGGTTAAGGTGGGTCTGAGTAAGATGGTTAAGGTTAGGGTTAAGGTGGGTCTGAGTAAGATGGTTAAGGTTAGGGTTAAGGTGGTCTGAGTAAGATGGTTAAGGTTAGGGTTAAGGTGGTCTGAGTAAGATGGTTAAGGTTAGGGTTAAGGTGGTCTGAGTAAGATGGTTAAGGTTAGGGTTAAGGTGGTCTGAGTAAGATGGTTAAGGTTAGGGTTAAGGTGGTCTGAGTGAGATGGTTAAGGTTAGGGTTAAGGTGGTCTGAGTAAGATGGTTAAGGTTAGGGTTAAGGTGGTCTGAGTAAGATGGTTAAGGTTAGGGTTAAGGTGGTCTGAGTAAGATGGTTAAGGTTAGGGTTAAGGTGGTCTGAGTAAGATGGTTAAGGTTAGGGTTAAGGTGGTCTGAGTAAGATGGTTAAGGTTAGGGTTAAGGTGGTCTGAGTAAGATGGTTAAGGTTAGGGTTAAGGTGGTCTGAGTAAGATGGTTAAGGTTAGGGTTAAGGTGGTCTGAGTAAGATGGTTAAGGTTAGGGTTAAGGTGGTCTGAGTAAGATGGTTAAGGTTAGGGTTAAGGTGGTCTGAGTAAGATGGTTAAGGTTAGGGTTAAGGTGGGTCTGAGTAAGATGGTTAAGGTTAGGGTTAAGGTGGTCTGAGTAAGATGGTTAAGGTTAGGGTTAAGGTGGGTCTGAGTAAGATGGTTAAGGTTATGGTTAAGGTGGTCTGAGTAAGATGGTTAAGGTTAGGGTTAAGGTGGTCTGAGTAAGATGGTTAAGGTTAG